AAAATGTACTTCAACGGGGCAGATATAGAGAAGAAACTGCTCTTCAAGTGCTTGGTGTGTGCAATGACTCCAACCAGAGTCACAAAATAAAGCCAGGAGAGGAAAAGCTGAAAAATTCCTAAGCTTTGTCCTATGCATGGTAAAATCAGCCACAGAATTGTGGGCTTTAGGAAGGAAATCACTAAMTCCATTAGAGGATATTCTTTTAAAATATTCCTTGCAGAACTAGAGATGATTATTCAAAATTTATACTTTTAATAGTGTTGCTGTTTCAACCGCTGCTTTCTTGTCTGCTGAGTACACCGACCTCAGGCTTGCTATCCCATGAATGTGGGATGAAATTACTTTCCCATTTAGGTTTGCTGCCCTGTGACACTGGTTCCCTGTTTGCAATTTTACTAACAGTTTTATTGTTTCCTCTGAGCAGTGACAGGTTGGACCTGTGATCAAGGTGTAAATATCTCTTGTATTTTGCTCTAAGAGGCAGAATCACAGAACTGTCTCTCACTGCATGACTGACTAGGAAGGAAAGTTGCAGCCAAGAAAAGGAGAAAAGTACAAAACTTGGCGTAAGGGATCAACAAATCGGACAGATGTGCAGCAGAAAGCAAACATCTGTGTGCAAATACTGGGATATGTAAATGCAAACCAAAAGAATTAAGAAATTAACTCTAACACAGCAATAAACTAATCTTTTCCCTAAATGACTTCCTTCCCTGAACTCAGAGGCTACAGCCAAGTGCCTTTTCACAGCTGCTTTGTTATAGGTTACTAACCCCTTGTAYCTGCCAGCARAACCCTTTGCAGGTYYCTCAACACATTTGTTTAAAATACTCMTGYCAGACACCRAACTGGAAACTCTTAGGTGTTAATTCTGYTCACACAGTGATTTTTTGCTCTACTTAATATTGCCATGCAGCAGGCAAGATCCCTTCAAATGTGCTTTGTCTGACTTTTATACTACATTAACAATAGATTAGCTAATGTTTGGATGGTTTCATAATCCTAAATCCATTTTAATATGGCTTTGGAGTTAAGTGTGTCCCCGTTACAGATTGATCAGTGGCTCCAACAGAGCACACATTTGCCTGAAAATGGTGATGGTGTAACAGCTGAATTGTCCCCTCACAAAGGATTATTCTGATGCAGCTTGTGCTGGATGTTTTACTGTTTGCAATCAACAAATACAAAGATGGAAAAAACATGAGGAAGTCATAAAGCAATATGAGAATGTGCTCAGCATCAGCTTCTATGTCCTTTGASAGTCTTTGGCCAAGCTTCTGAGACAGGCAGTTGGAAATCAATAGTACATTTGTCTCTTGTTTTTCCTCATTTGTTTCTCTTTAGCACATCTCAGCATACCTATACTCCCAATCCCACATCTTTTTCTGAAAYTCTGTGTAAGGAATTGTGCACTGCAGAGTTCTGAGCTTTGCTGTGGGATTAATCCCCACAGAGGGGATGGTCTGAGCACACACAGATCAGAGAGGCCCTTTGAGAGGATCTGGGAGGCAGCGAGTGGTTGGATCTGGCAGCATTTGGGCTCCATCCTGGAGTCTCTGGCCACATCCAGACAAGAAGCAAACAAACCAACAAAACAAACGTGCCACTGAGCCAGCCCATGTGCCTGAGCTGGGCCAGCAGCAGCATCAGTGGGCATTTCTGTGGCTCACATGTGGCTCACCTCAAGTGACACACAGAGAAACACCACACGCTCCTGTCAGAGCCTCACAGCCTGAAAACCTTCCTGCACTGCCTCATTATCTACCAAAAAGCTCTCCAGGTTCTTTGCTGCTTTTTTTTTTTACCCCCAGATGATTTACAGATCCTTGATCTGAGGTAAATGCACAGATTCAGTGGAAACTGCTGGATTGCAGGAGCTGAGAATCCGGCCTCTCTGCTTCCAGTTTTAGTGTGCAGTCTGAGTTAATGAAAGGTCTGCTTGTAAGCGTTTAAATATGACTATTTTCTTTGTTTGTGAAGTTACAGATTCAAAAACTAACTGTTGGGATACAGATGTGCAAACCTCTCTGCTTGCCCAGCAGAGGAGAAAGCGCATTTTGTTTGTTTTCTGCTGCTCTTCCACAAAGACACTGCAAAATGCAGACACACTAACTTGCAGACCTACTAACTGAGATTCAGTAAGATTATTTTCTCTTTTCTGTGATAATTGTTTTGTATTGGACATGTGGAGTTAGATTCATATCATGAAGGGGCACATATGGGACATGTGTGAGAGTATTCCTAGTTCTTCATGCAGGATGAAATCTTCTGTGGTGTTTATTCAGTAGAGAACTGGTTTCCTTTTGAGTCAAATGTGACTCTTCCATTTGCTTGTACACTGTGTTTACAACCAGCAGTTACGGAATTTGATTTTCAAAAGACTTTAGAGTTGCCTGATTTTATTGCTTATTTTTGTCACTGAAATAGTGACAGAGTTTGGATAAATCAGGAAACTTTTGAGACAATCTTTTCTTTTTATTTTCTTAATTCCCTTTTTATGATTTCAAACAACAGAAAACTTTTTAGTCTTTCATGCTTGAGTGTAAACTTCAACTTCCTTTCTTATCATATAAACACTTTTTTGTCTGAATTATCCTCTCCATGTGCTTACTTTCAGTTCAAACCAAACATAACATGACCTACTATAAACCTGACTTGCATAAGGGAATATAATCTAATATTTGCCTCTRGGTAAGATCAGGCACATGGACAGTTGATACAGCTCAAGTGACATGTGGTATCTTGTTAAACAATCACGTTAATTTTTGTTCATGTTATGTGACAGCCAACAGAATAATCTCCTTTTCTGCAATGAATACAGAGCTATCAGAAAGGTTTGGAATCAGGAAATGCATTGCCTCTGCACAGCACTGGTTTGGGTGYTTCTTCAGGCCAGCTTCCATCTCAAATCCTTTGGTCTGACTCAAGATTTGCCTGAGTTTTGACATGCTGAATACGATCACAGCAGGGCCAAAGTGTATCTGCTAATCATTCAATAATCATAGCAATCATCCTTTTGGAATTTGGAAATTCGCTTCCTGAAGGAAACAAAGCTGCTGCTTTGCTTGATTTGGTCTCAGTTCATAACATGGAGTGCCCAACCATAAGAAAAAGGTAGCTGCAGGTTTTTTTATGGCCTTTTCTGGTTTAAGAAGTATCAGAAGGAGATCTTTTGCCTTTAAAACCCTCAGGCCACACTGTGTTTCCAGAAGTTCAGGTATTGGGATAAACCAACTCCACCAAGTGCTGTACAAGTCAAGCCTTCTCCCACCTCCCTGCCAGCCAGAGCAGATTGCTGAATGGAATTGCCATTTCATGTCTGTTCTAACTTGTAATTGCTGATGGTTATCAATAAACAGCACTGATGCACACTAAACACTCCAGATTTGCTTATTTTACATTTTCCTGGTGTATCCTTTGCAAGTTACCCTAAATGAACTGGCTCCAGGTGAAAAAAAACCCAAAACCATAAACCCTAAACAGACACAGAAAGCCTTAAATACTGTAAACCACATTCCTGATCCTGCTCTGGAGTTCAATGCAAATTATACAGGTAATAAAGCAGAGGTAGAATCTTGAAAGCAGAAAATATTCTTACTTTTTTTAGGGCTAGTACGGTTTCAGACTGATCGTTGCTGGAGTCCTCTCAGAGTTGAAAAAATAAGTTTTAAAACTTCCCAAAAGCCTGAAGATAAAACACCTTTTTGCCTGTAATTCTGGTATCTTRGATTGCTAAAGGTAATTCTAAAAAATAGTGGTGGTTTTTCCTCATTTCTAATGGCTTTAAACTTTTATACATTTAATACTGATGCTTTTTAAGAATGAGGTGGCTGGGTGAGCCTAGAAAACAGCTTTTGTGACTTGCCTGATATCTGTTGATTTTAGTTTTTCTGTGAAATTTTGAAGCACAATTCCAACCTTTCAGCCTCATATTCTGACATACAGAACCCCATTAGAAGTTTCACCCCAACATCCACAGGTAGTGTATATCAATACAGCTCCATTCTTTCCAGCAGGATGTTACTGYTGTTATCAGGCCAAAATCAGGGCGTTTTTTTTTAGTTTGGACCCCCAAATCTAAACCTGACAAGTAGGTCTATGCTTTGGAAGAGCAGTGGGCTGAGTTTCAAGTTACTGAATTTAGAGCACTGGTATCTGGAAGTGCTGCACTGGTGCTTGGAACACGTTCCATGGCAATGGCAGCTGCAAACCACTCATGGCCAATTCATTCATCATGAGTCAAAACTACTCAGAAACACTGAGTTTCACAGGGACATTCCTGGAATCGAGTACTGGTCGGGGTGATACTCATTTACTGTTAACAGATCAAACTCTTCTTTAGCTGTAAAAAGATGTAAATGTCTATTTTACCTAAAAGTGTGTATTGTAGCTTTCTTATAAAATTAAAAATAAATAACTTTCCAAATTAATCTTTTCAATRCATAACACTTTCCAAATCAGTCTTTGGCAATATTTCCCCCTAGTTTGGTTTCCTTCACTTGTATATATTGCTTATGGCTAAGTTAGGCTTAGCAAAACCCAGTATAAGGCTCAAATTCTATATGTCTGTAAAGTTTCTAAACACAGAAGTTAAACTCCTGAATGAAAAATTCTTCAAGTTACTTTCATAGAGTCATACCCCTAAATGTCAGTTAAAGTAAATTATTGCTGGCAGAGTCTGCAGTGTGTGTTCCAGTGAGACTGCAGCGATTCCCCAGGGCTGTGCAGGGAATGCCTTCCCTGCCTTTCTGCACCCCCTCCCTCCCTTACAGACACACAGAAAATCCTTTCCTAACAGAGCCTAACTCAGCCCATYGAAAACTTTTACTGTGTTTCTATGCAGAGCATGGCAGTAGTAGACACCCAGTAGTAGTTTAAGAATYGCAAAGAAAGTTTTACAAACAGGACAGAGTAACTATGCAACCTGTGAGCGACCACAGAAACTGTTAAATTACAGGAAACGACTGGAAATAATTTAATCCAAACTTTCTCCTTACCTTCTTGAGCAAGTGCTAGGAAAGGCACACTCCCGAGGAYGAAGATGAAGAATGGAACTTTAACAAACATCTTTGATCTGCTTAGAGAGCTGCGTTCCGATCCTGAGACCAGACAGATCCAAATTTGGATTAATTTTTTTACAGGCAGTGGTGAATCGAGATGATAGAAAGAAATCACTGCAAAAAAAATACTTTGGTATTCCAAATATTCCTGTAGCTGCTGTAGTGTAAAGGGAGGACGCTTTCTCAGATGATAACTGAACAGTTAAAGAAAACTSAGTGGAGTCAGAATTGTTTTCTTTAGCCAAGGGGTGGGAGCAGCCTAAGGTGGTCCTCAACGAGCAGCCAGGCCCGCCCTCCCCACGCTGTTTGGTCAGGACCAAAATTATGATCTCAGCTCAGGTTTAAAGTTACAGRAGCTCTTGTGGCTTTCAGAAGACTTTTATTTAGCAAAGGGGGAAAAGGAATTTAGGCAAAGTGAGGTGCTCCCTCCCTTCTGCAAACTGTCGAAAAAACACTTAAGAAACAGCACTAAGGACACTTTTCTTGTTATTTCCAGCAGTGAACTGATGGTTTTTTTCATTTCAAAGTGAGTCCTCATGTTTATCTAAGCAAATGTGGTACTGAATGTGAATTTAGGGATACTGAAATAGTTWTTAGGACAGGCTATTTAACTCTGCAGTAAATACTGCCTGAATTTTCTTGTGTGCCTGTGTCCTCAAGTGACATCCTGGCTGTGCTCGACCGTTTCTCTCTGCCCACAGGCTCGCTGGCCTTGGAGTGCTGATGSCACCCTTCAGACAGAGGATTTTTCCTTTTCATGTGCAATATTAGGAGCACAGCCCCTACAGCAGCCTGTKCAAGTCTCGTTACCTTTTCCTTGTTGGTGTTTCTGGGCACAGCATTGCAGGGCAAGAGTGTGAGGTTGGATGCCACCAGCACGTGTGAGAGACGCTCACCAAGAATGAGAGACATGAACTGGGTGTTGAGCAGGACCTGGGGATCAGTGATTTCCACCAACCCTTTCCTGAATCCTGCCTTGTCTCAGGCAAGTGACACTGATTTTCATCTATTTAAGAGTATGGTGACATTGGTGTGGTGACATTGAACCAGCTCTGGTGTGTCCCTGTGACAGAGCTGAGTGAGGAAAGGTGGCACCTTCTCCTCAGCTTTGCAGTGCCAGCACAKCAGGCTCCAGCACAGCAGCAGTGTGGATTTACTGCCTTTCTGCCCGCAGAGGAGTGGGACACACTTGTGGCAGAGGTTTTGTGGGTTTTTTTATATACACATACAGAAAAAAAAAAAGAAACCCCAACCAAACAAAAAAAGAAACCCCTAAACCAGGGCTGGATTGTTTTCAGCCAGAGCTGTCAATAAACACCCCACAACACTTGGTGCTCTGAAGGCCCAAAGAAACTCTGAAACTCTAAGCAGTGATATAAAAAGGGCTGCAGATGGGGAATGCAGCCCTTTCCATAGGGTTTTTCTTTCCTTCTGAAAGTGATACCTGCTGAAGGAATTTGTTGACAATCAATTATAGTGCTATAATTGTGTTCTTTGTGATGAAGAGGARTGTAGGATGAGAACAGTTGGTGCCAATGCAAAGAAACAACAGACAATATCTGCTGATTGTCTTCATGAAAACAGAAAAATAAATATTGCCATGTAYTAACTTTCAGCATCTTAAAATCTGGGATTAATTATTTCTTGATAACCCTGCTTCCAATTCATTTAAAAGAATGTTTGCTTATTGGGGAAAATGAAGGTTGCTAGGGGAGTACATCAGTTTTAATGGAACTTATTTTGAAAGATCGAAACAAATACTTTTTAACCTTATCAGAATGGAATGTTTGGAATTCTGTATGYATCTTCAAGACAAAAGATTAATGCAGTACACTAGGAAAGACAAACCAGAACAAACAATGACTTTTAAATATTAACAAATTCTCAACAGGAGCAAAAAGAAGGGATTTTTAGACTTTCATTCAATTTTCAAAAGTATTCAGAAGACCTTTTTCTTTTTTGATAATTCATATAAAGGAATTTGTCTTATGTTTAAGAATAAGTCTTTCTAACGAGTGGGTTTTTGCTGAATTAAATAAATTCTCCCTTTAAACTGTGATGTATTYTGGGTAAAGAGTTGGGGCACTTGAGCTTTCAGGAGCTGGACATGCCCAAGTTTCAGTGGCTACTACTGCACTTTTTAATACTTTATTATTTTTCCCAATTAGGAACAGTTTCTCCTATACCAGCTTATTTCTCCTGCTCCAGCCTGTTCCTGAAAGGAAAACTCCTTATAATTATTAAACTGTGAAGAATTTAAAAAAATGAGCTTCTATCACGGTGTCATAGTGTGACAAAGGGCAAGAAATGTGCCCACAGATGCAAAATAAATTCGTGCAAAAACTGGAAATGTCATCTTGGCATGGAATTGTTCCTGAAAGACAGCAGTGGCAGGAACTCGCCTTTGTGGGGACAGCATGCTGCTGTGTGAGGAGATTAAGGCTGGGAGACACTGCTGAGCCYTCTGATTGAAAACATCAACAAAATCTTTTCAGAGGAGCCAATAAACCCTTGGGAGAGGAGATGGAGCCAGGCAGATGAGGGAGCAGCTTTCCTCTGAACTGCACCAAATTTAGGGGGTTTCTCCAAACTGTGGTTCACTGATTTGTAATTCAGTCAAGGTTCTGTGACAATAAAGGAGTTATTCACTGGTTCTGACTGAACAATTCACCTGCATTTAAAGCAGCACAGGCTCCTGTGTCAGAGCAGGACTGAGCTGTGTGATGGCAGTGGAGCTGCTCCARTGCTGTCATGAAATGTGGGTTCAGTCTGCCCAGGGATGTTGTAATTCAGCCTGGGTGTGTTATGACAATTCCCACAAATTGCCAGGATATGAGTGCATGGGTCATTTTTTTTTTTTTTTTGCCAGGCAGGTCTGTGTTTTTTATCCCTGTGGTTTAGGGGAGGAGGTGGGAAGGGTCTGCAGTCCACGCAGCGCTTCCGTTTTCATTTCATAATCTGTTCTTTCCGTCTCATTGTACCAGTGGTTTGCAGAGTCTTGTGAGAGGTTTAAACTGTCTCTGGTTCAGTGAGAGCCAGGAATGAACCAGAGCTGGGGGAGAAGAGAAGCAGTGACTGRATCCTGCAATGGGTTCATGGGCAAAGCTGTGGGGGAGATGTTTGCCCTGGGCTCAGTCAGAGTCACTGCAGGAACCCAGGAATGMACTCAGGCAGAGATTCCCCCATCACAGCAGGGCTCTAATTCATATAAACAACCCATAAAATGGGAACATGATCATCCACWCTCGGTTTAACGTCCATTATTCAGACCAGAGTCACACCAAGGATGAATTCTCTCTAAACACACACTGAGAAGGGCACACAAATGTCTCTCCCTGTTACCCCTCTACAGCCCCACAAAGTCTCCCAGGTGGGCAGAGGTTGTAGCATGGGGTCACATTTGAATGTCCTGGCTTCTGCTTGACTTATTAAAGGATTTTTCACCAATGTGCAGCTAAAACTTCTCTTTCCATGGATTCGTTTCGTCCATTGTCATCACCAGACAAGTGAAACCCCAGCTTGCAATTTCTCCAGTCCATAGAAAGCAAAACCTGGTGTTTTTCCTTCCTACTCTTTCACTAAAAACCCTCAAAAAGTGTAAATTAAGCATTCCATTTGATGACATCCTTTACAAATCTGCTCTGTAACTCAGAAAAATACTGTCTCTTTCTGCTGCCAAATTTCCTGTTTCTGTACCCTGGGGGCAGCTGTGGGCCCTGCAATATTTGGTCAGAAGCATAAAAGCTGTTTTCTGCRAGCTTTATTAATTTTCAAGCCATTTCCTGTTTTCCCTTTGCAAACCAAACCCACCCCTTTTGGCAGGTACTGAAATACAGAAACACCCGATTCAGTCTGAAGAAAAGTTGAATTACTTGAAAAAGGAGGAGTCCCCAAATGATAGCTCTGATTTTTGTGATCTGCTTTCCRTGAGGCAACTTTGCTTCACTGTGAGCTGTGTGGGATTGCAAAATGTTTTTGCACAGCTACAGACTCTTACCTTTAGGAATGGATTTTACCTTCCATTATAATATATATTATTATAATCCATTTTACCTTCCCTTATTCCCAGATTGTCAGAGTTCCAGCTCACCATATCTCATCACTGATTTGTTCCTTAAAGACGTGGTTGAACCTTTTGGGTTTGAATCACTGTGGGTTTTGTTTCTGATTTCTGAGATGCAARAGGTGACAGCACCTGGCAGTCTCTGGCTGCTGAAATGGCAATTCTGGAGTTTTTCAGGTGTCAGGGAATGGGAGAACTGGAAGGTGCTGCTTTCACCCTGCCTGTGTTTCAGACAGCCTTTCCTGACTTGGGATCACTTGTGAGGTGAAGCCAGACTTGCTAATAAAAGAATAAAAAGTAAAATGTGTCCTATAGGAAGGGATTGGTGTCATTATTGACAAACTCAAATATGCATATTATGCAGCTTTTTAAAGATAAGCTGCTCTAAATCAAACCCTGTTCCTTGACCATCTGTGCTCCTGACAGGATAATAAATGCACAGAGCTGTGAGCAGCCCAAGCTGTCAGATGTGGAGAAGAGACACTGGGAATGAGAAAATTGCAACAATGCTTGAGGTTGGAGTCTTTAAGCTACAATAGTGACGATTTTATCTGTCAGTTTTAAAGATAGGGCTACATTTTCAGCTGATATAAATCAGTCTCACCAAAACCAATATATAGCAGTGCTCACAAACTCCAGTCTATGGGGCACAAAGACAACCAAAAACATTTTAGGATCTGAGAAATGGCACACACTGAGTCTGTGCTTCCAGGCTGTGCAGGAGGCTGATGGAGAGAGAAATTCTGAGGCAGCCAGGTGCCATCTTAGCCAGGAAATGTATTTAATTGACTCTCATAATAATTGCATTTAAAGAGAAAGAAGCAGGCCTCTACACTTTAATTAGTTTCATTTGAGATTTATGGGCAGATGCTCGCACAAGTTGCTTTTCTCCATGGTGTTATTTCAGTCAGGCCTGAAAAGAGCTGGTTAAGGTGGGCTGGGAGAGGGGCAGGGCTCAGTTTCATGTAGAGCAAGCTGGTCTATGTAAAATGTCAGGATTTCTCCATGATGTTTCAAAGCCTGTCATTTGATGTTGAAATTTCAAGCTGAAACTGGATTTTGTTCATATTTTAAGGTTCCTCATTAGAAGCAGATAAATTTGGGCTGTTTGACATAAAAGCTTGAATTATTTTCTTTACTTAAGATAACACCATTGCCTGCCTGAAGCAAAAYACAGGTGTGAGGGAGTGAGAGACATTTGGTAGATGGTCTGCAGTACTTTCCT